CAACCAGTACAATGTTGATTAGAAGTAGCAAGAGTGGACATTCTTTTATTTTAAAGAATATATCTATTCTTGAGAAGCTGAAACTCATGGTAGGGATGTGATTAATATATAAATTTGAGGTTGAAATGTATGGGTAGGATAACTTGTGGTGAGCTAGAATAGCTAGTGATGATACAGTTTACATAAAGTGGAATAAAAACATACATATACACATACGCATATATATTAAAAAACCAACTCCTCAGCCTGTAATCCCATGCCTTTGGGAGGCTGAGGTGAGTGGATTGCCTGAGCCCATAGGTTCGAGACCCGCCTGGGCAACGAGACCTCATCTCTACAATAAATTAAAAAATCAGCCAGGGTGGTAGCGCATGCCTGTAATTCCGGCTACTGGGAAGGCTGAGGTGGAAGGATCGCCGGAGCCCAGCAGGTCGAGGCTGCAGTGGCCGGGAGCGGCCACTGCACTCCAGTCTGGGCGACAGAGTGAGAATCCAACTCTAAAAAAAAAAAAACAAAAACCAACTCCTCAAACGTCCTCCCCTTTTGGCTTCTTCTCCTCCACAGGCATGTGAAAACTCTTTTGTTTGACCCTGCCACCTGCTCTAGCCATTGTCTGATTTTCCCCTTCCTTTCAAGATTAGACTTCAACAGAGAGCGTGCTGTCTCATAACCTTCACTTCCTCATCACACCCATCTTCTCCAGCCCCTGCTGTCTGCTTTCTGCTCCCCCAACTGCAGTTCCCAGTGGTTTCCTAGATGCTAAGACAAGTGGCATTTTTTCAGTGCTCTCTGACCACTGTTTAGTATTTGAGGCCATCAGTCACCTTATTCTACCAGAAGGACGGCTTTCATGACCATCTCCTCCTCTGGTATCTTTTCTCCTGCTGTTCTTCAACATGTAGCACGTGGCCATTCCTTGGAACCTGGCCTTGGCTCCTTCATTCTGCTTTCTCTGTATACTCTGCCTGGATATCTTGTCTATATCTCTAGCTCTCACACTTATGAATGTCTCTAAATTTTCTCTTCAGATCCTGGTTTCCATCTACCCAATAGACATGTACTCTTCCATATCCCCTAACATCTCAAATTCAGCATCTAAATTCAAACTGCTGTTCTATATCAGGGCATGCCCTTCACCCCTCTTAAATTCCTATCACTAATTGGAAACTTACCTAGCCTCCAGGGCCCAGTTTAAACACCATTTGCTCCAGGGAGCCTTCCAGAGAGTCACAATGAGAATTTAATTCTGCCCCCAGAAATCATAAAAAAGATGTTTTACCCAATCCTGCCCCCTTTCAGCTTGTGGGAGAAAAGCAAGACACCAAACTGCTAAATACTTGTTTAGGGACACATAGCTTATGCTAAAGTTCTACTAGAAAGTCCCTCTCCAGTGCTCTTTCCACTATACCAAGCAGTTTCTCAGTGGCTCTCATGCTTTCAATGGCTCTTATGACATACAAACATGTAGTGCCGCATTTCCATATTTGGGTACTCAGCCTAACTGTAAAATAACTTTCTCTGTTTCTCATATGTTCTTGAACTCCCATCTGTGCCTATTTCAAAAGTTGTCACATAGTTAATGCTCAATAAATAATGAATGAATGAAATAAGATATGGTTGCCTTGTGGGTTTTCCTTCATTAGGGTCTAGCCCTGTATGGGGAAAATGGGGCACTCACTCAGAAGATATTTATTGTCTGGTTAATGATGGGCGACGTTAAATATCAGACTGAGGTGTTTGGACTCTCTTCTCTAAGCAGTGGGGAGCTGTACTAGTAAATTAGGAAAGTACCATGTTAGAAGGGGTAAATCAGGCAGTAGCAGCAGAACGAAGATGTGGTGAGGTAGAAGCTCCACGAGGGAGGACAGAAGGGATTGGTCTGAGGTGGTGGCTTCAGGAATCAAAAGGAAGAGGCAAACCAGGCATGTTTTGAAGGGAGAAAGGACAGGGTAGCTGTGATGCAGGGAAGGGAGGAGGAGCAGAGGATGATACAGAAATGGGATTTTGGTGGGGACAATGTCACTGTTATTGAAAAGTGGAGGCTGGGCTCAGTGGCTCAGCCTGTAATCCCAGCACTTTGGGAGGCCAAGGTGAGTGGATTGCCTGAGCCCACCCACGGGTTCGAGACCAGCCCAGGCAACTTGGCGAGAACTCGTCTCTACACAAAAAAACAAACAAAACTTAGCCGGGCATGGTAGTGCACGCCTATAGTTCCAGCTACTTGGAAAGCTGAGGCGGAAGGATCACCAGAGCCCAGTAGGTCGACGCTGAGGTGGCTGTGAGCGTGCCACTGCACTCCAGCCTGGGCAACAGAGTGAGACTCCAACTCCAAAAAAAAAAAAGAAAAGAAAAGCAGAGCAGATCAGGCCTGTGTGAAGCATCTTCTGGGTAGGGTGTGAGGGACCATGACCAGTGTGCCACATGTACACGCTCAACTTGAGTCTCCTCATCACTCTTTCAAGGAGGTTGGGTCAGGAAATGGGCTTGAAACCCATTAAATATCAGCATTTGAACCCAGTGTGTGTTGTCTGACCTCAAAGATTATTCTTTCATCACTCAATGCCTCCCAAGCATACAGGAAGTAGACAAATTGGAAGTTAAGGTTTCAAAATTAAAATGTGTGTGTAGTGATTGAGTTGGTGGTAGCAGGTCATTATGATTCCAGGCCTGTCATATTTTCCCTCTTAGATAAGAAGCATCCAAAAATCATGGCAATAAGTCTTTCTTCCCGTCTCCCTCCATCTCAGAAAGCGCTAAAGTTTGATTCAAGAAAGGATTTCCCAGTCCAGGCATTGTGGCTGAGGCCTATAATCCCAGCACTTTGGGAGGTTGAGGCAGGAGGATTGCTTTCTGGTTTTTTTTCTTTGAGTCAGAATCTCAGTCTGTTGCCCAGGCTTGAGTGCAGTGGCACACTGCTCACGGCCACTGTAACCTCAACCCGCTGGGCTCAGACAGTCCTTCCACCTCAGCCTTCCAAGAAACTGGAACTGCAAGCATGCACCACTATGCGCAGCTAATTTTTGTCTTGGTTTATTGTGGAGACAAAGTCTCACCATGTTGCCTAGGCTGGTCTCAAACCTACATGCTTAGGCAATCCTCTCTTCTCTTCCTCCCAAAGTGCTGAAATGACAAGGTGTGAGCTGCCATGCCTGGCCTGAGGATCACTTTCAAAACCAGCCTGGGCAACACTTGAGATCCTGTTTCTACAAAAAAAATAAATAGCCAGGCATGGTATTACGCTCCTGTAGTTCTGGTTACTCAAGAGGCTGAGCTGAGAAGACTGCTTTAGCCCTGGAGTTGTAGGCTTCAGTAGGCTATGATCATGCCCTCCAGCCTGGGCAACAGAGTGAAACCCCATCTCTTGAAAACAAAAAGTTTTTTCACAGCTTCAGCTGGAGCTAAATAATTGAGTATAGACCAACGAAGTTCTTGATATGGTCAGTCCAGCCCCCTTCAGAGCACACAAAAAGGACCCCCCTTCAACTCTGTCACATCTTTCTCTCAAGCAGGTTGGGGATGCCCTCAGGTTGCTGTGTGCCAGAGCTGGGCAAGGTGCTGGACATACATGATGAGCAACGAGGCCTCAGTCCCTTTCTCCAGGGAATTTGCAGACAAATAAATGTACAATGATAATACATTGCAAAATATGCTCTGATAAGGCACATACAGGGAGCCAGGGGCACATTTCCTATCTTTCAGTTCCCCTCTGAGAAAATGAACAAAGACAGTATGCAGTGAAGATTTTCTTAAAAAGCCTTGAGCTGCTGCCTCTGGGTCTCCAGCACGCCCAAGTTGTCTTTCATATGCTTGTTACTTCAGTGGATGAAGGGCTTTTTTTTTGGCTTGTTTGTGGAACTTTTTGGTTGTGGGGTTCCCCCACTCCAGAAATCCTATGTCAGTTTTTCAAAATCTGGAAGAAGGGAGTTTTAGATTATATGCTTTTAGGATTATCAACATGATCCTAAAAGAGGTCCACGTGGCCTGGAGAGTTTATTCCAAAGTGCCATCTTCACTTTCTACCTCTGCTCTCAGTCCCAGCAGTCAGAGAGGAGGGACCTGCCCTGTAAAATGTCAAAACTGTCATTCTGCAGGAGGTGCAGGAGTGTGGACAGACTGGGGGCATATCTCTCTCCAGCTTGCAACTCCACCTCCCAGCTTCTTTCTGTCTCAAAGAAAAAGTTCTGCCAGGAGGGTGTGGGTGACCACCTGACAGCAGCTATGTTGCTGTGGCCAGGCCTGCCTGCTCTTGGCCCAGCAGGAGGACAAACCTCTTTAGAGGTTTTGTTCCAGCCCTTTGGTCCCTCTCCTTCTTGCACTGTTTGATTCAGAAAAGTAGGAACAGAAAGTTCTCCCTTCTCTTTCACCCTCCCAGAAGCCCTTTCTCACCATCACTTGCTCTTTCCTTCCCTAAAGGTCCTTCCTGCTCCTAAATGCCTCAAACCCTGGCCTGTAAGCATTCAGTCTCAGGAGGACTGGGAAGGGAAGAAAAGTACAAAATGATGATGGCCCTCAAATTCCTGCTCCCTGCTAATTTTTCTCATCTCTGCTTTTAAAAATTAAAATAATAATAATGGTAATTAACTTTTATTGAGCACATGCTCTGTGCCACGTACTGTCTTAAGCATTTCATGGGCATTTCCTCACTTAAAATTCACACCAATCCCAGAGGTAGGTACTCAGGCACCCTTATTTTGCAGATGAGGATACAGACACAAAAAGTTTGTCAGTGAGTTTGAAATCAGGAGCTTGTCATTGAAAGACCATCTAGACTCTGACTTCCATGTTTTCTCACTTCCTTTCAACTTTTCCCATAAAACGTTAATTCTGATCCAATCCAGGAAAAGGACAGGTGGCCATCAGGGTTCCTGCTGCAAGGAATATACTAGTATTCACTCTTACATCCTGACTGAATACCTCTTTTCATCCCTTTAGCTTCATAATCCTTGTCTGAAGTTCTGACACCTTATTCTTTCTTTCTGTTTCCCGTGCCCTCTCCCCAGGACCCTGCTGGGATCTTTGAGCTGGTGGAGGTGGTCGGCAATGGAACCTACGGACAGGTATACAAGGTGAGACTCTATGGCTTCCACATCTACGGCGCCCTCTTGAGAGGCATGGAAGAAGTGGGTTGCAGGTCTAGAGATCTGAAGGGGGGCTATGGGACATTATAGAGGCTGGGGCTGTGGGAAAGGATAGAGAGGAGGGAACAGGTAAGAGCATCCAGAAGCAGGGGTGTTGTTACTGGCCTCTGCTTCTGAGTGTAAGAGCTAGTCCTGGATGTGATAGGAACAGGTCTGCAGCTGGAAGGTCAGTGGAAAAGGCATGGGGACTTGTATGTCAGAGCTCACCTGGGAATTCAAAGCAGAGGTAAGGCCAAAGGTATGGGTTTGGCTCCGCCTGATACACAAAGAGACCAAGGATCTAATGGGTGGCCTTGTGCAGAGGCAAAGCCATTTTCTTGAGCACCCGTAACTAGCCTGTAGCAGAGCCAGAGCCAGAGCTCAGACTTTCTGTTTTTGAGGTTGCCTCTGTCCTGAACATAAATGGCATATTCTTGGCCACTGATGGTAGCTTTTAGCCTGGCCCTCTCACGTGGCCTGACCACTGCTCACACTCGGATGGGGGAAGTGACCACAGCAAGGAGTGGGGATATTCAAGATGGATGCTTCCCCTGAGCCAGAGGCCCTCCCTAGAACACATGGCCTGCTGCATTTCAGACACAGTGCTTGGTATTTTCACGAGTCTCCTCTGTGTCTTTGTGGCCTTGTGTTTCCTGGGCCACTGGAACTACCTTCCTCTCTCCTTCTCTTGTAAGCTTTGGGAAAACAGGCACCCCTCAACTCTTGCCTGTTGTTGCCATGGAAATAGTAGCTCTGTGTGCTCCTGCTTCTCTGGATTTGGGGTCTTGAATGGCTGTTGCAGATAAAAACCCATGGGCTGGGAAAGCCCATGTCCATCCCCTCAAGGGGCCACCTTCTCCCACCCTGCTTTTCCCCAGGAAGTCTTGGGTTTTCCTGTCCAAGCTTTAGATGGCTGTTGCTAGGAATTTCAGAAGGATGGTGGGGGAAGTGGGAAATGTCTGGGACACACTCAAGAAGAGGAAGTTTCTTTCCATTAGGACTGGTGACAGAGACATCAACACATGTCAATCGGCCCTTCTATGCTCCCGAGTTCCCCGAAATCTGAGCTCTGTCTTTGTTCTTTCCCTATTTGACAATAAAAAGTTTTGCAGGTAGGGTTGATTCTGGGAGTGACCTCCTGTCTAGAGTGGATGGTTCAGTAAAGCACCCCAGCATTTTGTCTTCCTTAAGAGATGAGAGTCAGCGGGGCTCAGTGGCTCAGCCTGTAATCCCAGCACTTTGGGAGGTCAAGGCTAGTAGATTGCCTGAACCTGTGGGTTCCGGACCAGCTCAGGCAACTTGGCAAGACCTCATCTTTATAGTAAAAAAACAAAACAAAATTATCCGGGTGTGGTAGCACACACCTGTAGTTCCAGCTACTTGGGAGACTGAGGCAGAAGGATTGCTGGAGCCCAGAAGGTCAATGCTGGGGTGGCCATGAGTGTGCCATTGCACTCCAGCCTGGGCAACAGAGTGAGACTCCAACTCAAAAAAAAGTCAAAGCCCCTCCCTCCCTAGCTTCCTTCTGCTCCCTCCAGGCTCCATTAAAATGAAGAAAAATCTTTCATTCCCTGCTTTAACTTTCAAACTGTAGAAAGTCCAAGCCAGAAAGGCTGGAACAGAACACAAGTGTCTCTCACTCATCTCTCTTGAGTTTTTTTTGTTTTGGTTTGGTTTGGTTTTTTTGTTTTTTTACGACAGGAGACTCTTCATGTTTATCTGATTTATAGTTTGGAAGTCCATTCTAGGTAGTTTTTCTATCAACCATGATGCCTCAGGAACTGTCTCCCTCTGTCCACTCCTATGACCAACACATAGACTGAGGTGTCCACTAGCCACAATGAGGGATACTTTCTAAGACAGAAATCAGCCAAAAGATGTGGACTCTCCCAGGTCAATCCCTCTCTGCTCCCTGAGCACAGACTCAGCTCCCTTATGCTCCACTCTCTGTTCTGCAGGGTCGGCATGTCAAGACCGGGCAGCTGGCTGCCATCAAGGTCATGGATGTCACAGAGGTAGGGAGTGAAGCCAGGCAGCAGGAGGGTGGGACCATTGTGAAGGGGTTGTAGGGGGAGTCTCAGGGCTCAGCTCCTTCCATTCACCTAGGATGAGGAGGAAGAGATCAAACAGGAGATCAACATGCTGAAAAAATATTCTCACCACCGCAACATTGCCACCTACTATGGCGCCTTCATCAAGAAGAGCCCCCCTGGAAATGATGACCAACTCTGGGTGAGAAATGTCCTCCGCCTGCCCTCCCCACACTTCCCTGTCCCGAGGCTGCTCATTTGAACTCTGTCAGTACCCAGAGCCTCTCCTTTCCAGCCCTTCTTTCCATCTACCCAGACTCTCTTATCCCTGGGTCCAGAGGATCCTCATGTCCCACACTCTAACTCCCCCGCATATTGCAGCCGTCTCATCATCTGAGTGTCACAGTGGCAAGCGTCCTGGAGTTTGCCCCAACCTTTGCCCTGAGCAGTACCTCACACTGTGTGACAGGCACTTAATAAATAGCACTGTAATCCTGGGAAGGGCAAGAGAGACCATGGGGAGGTTAGTCCATCTCTTTTCCTGCTTTGAGTATAGCTTCTGGGAAAACAACAGAACAGAAATATTTGTGGACTAGGCACAGTGGCTCACACCTATAATCCCAGCTCTTTGGGAAACCGAGGTAAGAGAATTGCCTGAGCCCACAGGCCTGAGACCAGCCTGGGCAACTTGGCAAGACCTCATCTCTACAATAAGTCAAAAATTAGCTGGGTGTGGTGATCCATGCCTGTAGTTCCAGCTACTTGGAAGGCTGAGGCAGAAGGATCATCTGAGCCCAGTAAGTCGAGTCTGTGGTGACCATGGGCACACCACTGCACTCCAGCCTGGGCAACGGAGTGAGACTCCAACTAAAAAAAAAAACTGAAAAACAAAAAAGTAAAAATATTTGTGGAAAGTAACAGGATTCAGACCCCTCCTGGCTCCCCAGATCTGGCAGTGCATCTCATCCTTCTGGATGATTATTTGAATCTGAGCCTGCTATAGATCTTTTGGGTTCCCCCAAATTCCTACTGGCCCAGATCATTCCTAAGAATCATTTCCCTCCCTAGACTGGGCAGTGGTGCCAGTGGATTCTCCCAGCCTCACCCTTTGTGATACTGAGCTTAGATCCTAAGGAGAAAGCATGGCAATGGCTATGGAGAGTGTTGGAGCTCATGCCTGGTCTCCTCTCCCAGCAGTTAGCCAGACAAGTGCTTATTAAGTACCTTCTGTATACCTGATACAGATGAACATGAGCCATGGTCCTGGCTTCCAAAGTCCTTGGGCTTTTTGGGGATGCATCCATGCATGTGCACACGCATGCACACACGCACGCACACACGCACGCACACATACATATTTGGATTTGGACACAGAAAGGTAGGAAGATTACTGCCAGGTGTGTGTAGTGGCAGCTCATTGAGGTCTAGAGACTAGGTGCTAGTGGCCTAGCTCCCTCTTCTGGACCTGTTGGGCATTGTCTTCCCCTCCTCCCACTACATACTGCTATCCTAGAGACAGACACATGCAAATTACTTTTATTGCATATGCAAATATACATGTGCCATCCAACCACGTCCTGCACTGGAAGTGGCTTTTAGTGAAACTTTAGATAGGCATGCTTATTCCCAGGGGGACCAGTTGGGGCCATCTTCCGATACAGCCTCTGCCTCTGGGTTTCAGGGGCTCTTCCCTGGCGTTGCAGACCTGGAGCTCTCCTTGTCTCCTGGCCTTGTCACTCTGTGCTTGAGGAGTATCTCCAAGTCTTCCCAGGCTCCCTGCTGCAGTTGCTGAAGGAGACCCCATGAATTATTTCTGTCTCTAGCAGACCTGCAGAATCGCTGGTTCTTAGCTCCTTTCTTGCCTCTGAGTCAGGGCCTGGCAAACTTTTTCTATAAAGGGCCAGACAGTAAATGTTTTAGGCTTTGTGGGCCATATTTGCTCTGTCACAACTCTGTTCTGTCAACTCTGCTGTGTGCCATGAAAACAGCAATAGATAATACATAAACAAATGAATTTGACTGTATCCCTCAAAACCTTTTTTAAGTTACTAAAATTTGAGTTTTATATCATTTAGATTCTCTTTTTAGATTTTTTTTCCCCAAGCACTAAAAGATATAAAAACTATTCTTAGATTGCTGGCCATACAAAAGCAGGCCTTGGGCTGACCATAGTTTGCTGACCCCTGATCAGCAAATGTAACCATTTTGAGCTTTGGGGTCTCAGTGAGAATCTGATTAAAGTATTGGACCTTTCCTCATGGAAAATGCACATATCTGTATCATTTAGTCTCCAATTTCAGAGGTCCCTTGGACTCCTGCTCTGGGCCCAGCCCCACCCTGCCAGCTGTATTCCCTTTTTCTCTCTCTCCTGATCTCAGGAAGTCCTGTGGCCTTCATGAAGGTTCCTGAGGTCCCCGCTCTCCAGTGCATACCAGTTCTAGCCCCAAGCAATGCCTCTGGTCATCCACCAGGGGTCTAGCAGGGACAGGAGGGGCGGGGAGCTTGCCTGACCAATACTTTCCCTTCTGGTACCTTCCTGGGACCACAGCTGGTGATGGAGTTCTGTGGTGCTGGCTCAGTGACCGACCTGGTAAAGAACACAAAAGGAAATGCCCTGAAGGAGGATTGCATTGCCTACATCTGCAGGGAGATTCTCAGGGTGAGCTTGTCTCTTGTCTCCTCCTGTGCTACCCTGTCTGGAGTTTCCCGACCTTAGGAACTCTCAGGCTGTTAGGGGAGGTGAGCCCCTCTGTTTCCAGGCTCTGCCACTTCTCTGCTTGTAACCCTGCAACAGATTGTGAGTCACCTGAAGCTGCCACCCTGAGGAAGATCCCCCAAGACAGCTCAGCTTGTACTTGGACTCTGGGTGTGGAGGGTCTGCTCCTTCAGCCCAGCCCTGTTCCCTCAACTAACTCCTACCTCCTCACTCTCCCCCTTCTGACACCATGGTTGATTTTCCCTGCTCTCCTGTTCCAGGGTCTGGCCCATCTCCATGCCCACAAGGTGATCCATCGAGACATCAAAGGGCAAAATGTGCTGCTGACAGAGAATGCTGAGGTCAAGCTAGGTGCGCTGGTTCCTTCTGAGGCTGTCAGGGACCTGCGTTCTTGGTCATCCAAACAGACCTTATTGGTTATCCCCATCTAAGGTTTCCCTAGCCCAGAGTGGGGTCTGGGTTACTGGATGAAGAAACAGTAACCTTCTGGAAAGAGAATTAGGGGACCCTTTTTCCCTCCTGTGGCTCAGGTCCAACAACCTGTCTGCTGGGAGGAATCACTCGTCTCCCCCACCCAGTGCCTTGCCTCCTGCTGAAAATCCCTCAAGAAGCTTTTTACCTGCCACCTGTTATGGGCCAGGTGCTGTGCAGGTCCTTCTGAGGGGATGGGATCTGATGAACCCCTTCCGTGGGTTGCTGTCCCTTGATCTTTTACCTTGTTTTTTTTCCGAGATGCTGGAAGACTGGATCAGGTTCTTAAGGATGCTGACAGGGTAGAGAAGGGTGTGGGGGTGTCTGGGTGGGACCAGGATCTTACCTGCCTCAGATGAGGTACATACATGTGTGCAGGAGTGTGAGGGAAGGGAGCAGACGCGATTCCCTACGCTGAACCCTCCTTCCCTGTCTTCACAGTGGATTTTGGGGTGAGTGCTCAGCTGGACCGCACCGTGGGCAGGCGGAACACTTTCATTGGGACCCCCTACTGGATGGCCCCAGAGGTCATCGCCTGTGATGAGAACCCCGATGCCACCTACGATTACAGGGTATGAAGTGGAAAGCTGGAAGCATGGAGGCACCAAGGGCAGGAAATGAGATGGGGACGATGGGCTTGAACATGCTGGGGAAGAAGGAGTGGTCAATGAGGTGTTAGCAGTGAGGGGCTGGAGAGCATTTATGGCAAGGAAAGTAAGGGTAGCAAGATGGAATGAGTTAGAGAACAGCATGGGGCTGGAGTAGAAGGACCGTGGGAAGGGGTGTGGCCAGGAAGGGTCCTGAGAGGCTGAGGGTGGTGACGAACGAAGAGAGATTACTGGGCAGAATTATCAGGAATATTCACTTGTCCCATTTTCTCTCCTCTCTGTAGAGTGACATTTGGTCCCTAGGAATCACAGCCATTGAGATGGCAGAGGGAGCTCCTCGTAAGTGCTGAGGCTGCCAAGGGTAGGAGGGGAGGGAAGGAAAGTGACTTCAGGAGGAGATGAGTCATGGGAGGTCCTGTTGAGGAAGGGTCCTGTAGGCTTTTGGCTGACAAAAGTGACTGAGGATGTCTCTTCTGTGTCCAGCTCTGTGTGACATGCACCCCATGCGAGCCCTTTTCCTCATCCCTCGGAACCCTCCACCCAGGCTCAAGTCCAAGAAATGGTAGGTCTCTGAGTTTGGTCTCTAGGAAGGAAGGTCTCTGGACAAGGCCACCCCCACCTCCAGAGCTCTCTGTGTTCAGGCTTGGATCAGTACCACAGAAGAGGTGTTGGGGATGCTGGGGTGGCGACTCGTATTGGGATGTGGAGAAGACAGGAGGGGCACCCAGATGCTTGTGGATGGATGCTTGACCCTCTTCCTCCTGAGGGGACACTCCCAGTCTGTGAGCCACCACTGTTTCTAGGTCTAAGAAGTTCATTGACTTCATTGACACATGTCTCATCAAGACTTATCTGAGCCGCCCACCAACGGAGCAGCTACTGAAGTTTCCCTTCATCCGAGACCAGCCTACGGAACGGCAGGGCCGCATCCAGCTCAAGGACCACATTGACCGATCCCGGAAGAAGCGGGGTGAGAAAGGTGAGTCGGCAGGGTGGGAGGGGGTGGGTGTTAGGACACACCTCAGCCACGCTCCTCTCCTCCAGCCCTGCCTCCTCCTGGCTCCCCTTCATGCTTCCCTCGTAGGCTCCAACTCTGACTGTCAGGGAGATCTCCTTTCCCAGACTTAACAACCGCAGAGGTGGTTTTCCTCATTTGCCACCTGATCTGAGTCAGCCCTCCAAATGACGGTCACCTTATCACATCCTTACAGAACCTCCATATTAAGCACATGCATGGGCAAGTGCACGCACATGTTCTACCACATCCCACCTACTACTAGATCTGGTCCCAATTTCCGTCCAGGCACAAACCTGAGACCCACTGTCTCCCCGTTGCTCCAAGGAGGTGGGTGGGGACCCTCATTCTTGGTCATCCAGACAGACCTATTGGTTATCCCCATCTAAGGTGTCCCTAGCCCAGGGTGGGGTCTGGGGCACTGGGTGAAGAAACAGCAGTGATCTCCCCTCTGCAGAGGAGACAGAATATGAGTACAGCGGCAGTGAGGAGGAAGACGACAGCCATGGAGAGGAAGGAGAGCCAAGGTGGGCTTGGTAGACCGGGTGGGAGGGTGGGGCCAACTCTGACTGACTGAGGGGATAACAGTTGTCCTTGGCTTTTGGGACTCTCAGTCTGAGGGTGGTGGGAGAGAGGTAGACACCCATATAAACAGAATCCCTGGGTGCTGAAAAGTGGAATGAATGAGTGAACAAGAGGTGAGGAAAGGGTGATTCAGGGCTGAAGTGGGGGAGGGTGTGGGCAGGAAGAGAGGGCCAGAGACTGGGCAGAAGGGAGGACAGATCTCCTGGCCACCTGGGAGTGGCCAGAGGCAGATTGTCTGATCCAATTAAAGCACCCACTCGGGTGGGCTCTCCAGGGACGAAAGTATGAGTCAGCAGGGTTCTGACCCCTACACTGTGTGCCACCCTGACCCAGCTCCATCATGAACGTGCCTGGGGAGTCGACACTACGCCGGGAATTTCTCCGGCTCCAGCAGGAGAATAAGAGCAACTCAGAGGCTTTAAAGCAGCAGCAGCAGCTGCAGCAACAGCAACAGCGAGACCCTGAGGCGCACATCAAACACCTGCTGCACCAGCGGCAGCGACGCATAGAGGAGCAGAAGGAGGAGCGGCGGCGTGTGGAGGAGGTAGGCTGTCCTGGCAGTGCTGGGCCCAGGCTGGGCACACTTCCTGCTGACCCGACTCCAGTCCATCCTTGGTTCTGTGAGGACCTCGGGGAGAGCAGGGAGTGAGCTGGTGCTTCCCAGCCCCTTTTCTCTCAGACTTTTATGGGAAGTCTCTCTCCCCCATTATCAGAGGCTTGACCCGCAAGCACTGGTACCCCCCACCCAACCGTGTGTGGATGGTTGTGTCATCAGTCTCCCTTCAGAGCAGAGCCATTTCTGAAGAGCTGTATCCATTCCCCACGACAAGACTGTCCCTGTCCTTGTTTCTGCATATAAACCTCCACTCTGCATTTATTTAGCTCTGATAACTTCAGTCTCAGGCAGCTGGGGATCTGTGCACAGACACTTCAGTGCACCTGCACGTCTGGCTCTATCAAGCAGTTTTCTGGTCTGCACATGCAAAAGATCCTTTTAAAGACTCTTCTTTTACTTATGGCTATTTTGGTTCAGATTTTTGTCAAGTACAGTCTTGTCAGTTCAAACTGATTAGAGGTGGGTAGAGAGATCTCATTTCAACTAATAGAAAACCTTACTTTTAAAATAGGTGCAGTTTTCTTTTCTTTTTGGATATTACCAATTAAACTCATATATCGGCGAGGCAGGAAGATTGCTTGAGCCTAGGAGTGCAAGACTAGCCTAGACAACATAGTAAGACCTCCTCTCTACACACACACCCAAAAAATTAGCCAAGGATGGTGGTACTCACCTGTAGTCCCAGCTTCTTGGGCAGCTGAGGTGGAAGGATCACCTGAGCCTAGGAGCTGGAGGCTGGAGTGAACAGTGATTATGTCACTGCACTCCAGTCTGGGTGACAGAGTGAGACTCCAACTCAAAAAAAAGAGTAAATAGATAAATAAAATATACATGTATACATATGTACGAGGAGGGACCCCAAAAAAACCAAAATTATCCTTTGGAGGGTGGGCCCCCTGTAGCTTGTAGTATACTTGGAATTTGTTCCTCCAGATCAAATGGTCAACCAAAGTTTTTATCTGGAAGTTTTGAGAAAGTTGTGTCATGGTATGCAGAAGAAATGTCCTGAGTTGTGACAAACAGGTTTCTGGTTCTTCTACAGTGACAGCACACCTGCCCACACTGTGCTGAGTGTTTAGCAGTTTTTGACCAAAAACAGCATGACCCCTGATCTCACCCTGAGTGACGTTTTTTTGTTTCCCTGGATGAAAAAAGTTCTCAAAGGGAAATGTTTTGTTGATGTGGAAGAGGCGAAACAAAAAAATGGAAGAAGCACTAAAAGGCATCATAATTGACGAGTTCAGAAACTATTTTGAACAGTGGAAAAAGTGTCTTGATAGGTGTATTGCATCAAACAGAGAGTACTCTGAAGGTGACTGGAGTTTAAACATGTAAGAATAAATACACAATTGATTTTTTTCTGAGTCAGAGTCTCACTGTGTTGCACAGGCTGGCGTGCAGTGGCACAATCACAGTTACCACAGCCTCGATCTGCTGGGCTCAGGTGACCCTTCAATCCTCAGCTTTCCAAGTAGCCTCAGCCTTCCAAGTAGCTGGGGTTACAGGTGTGTGTTGCCACACCAGGCTATTGTTTTCTTTTACATGTTATCGTAGAGACAAGGTCTTGCCATGTTACCCAGGCTGATCTCGAACTTTTGGGCTCAGGCAGTCCTCTCGCCTCAGCCTCCCAGAGTGCTGGATGTGAACCACTGAACCCCACCTAAATATACCTTTTTTTTTTGAGTTGGAGTCTCACTCTGTCGCCCAGACTGGAGTGCAGTGGCATGCTCCCGGCCACTGCAGCTTCAACCTGCTGGGCTCCGGCGATCCTTCTGCCTCAGCCTTCCAAGTAACTGGAACTACAGGCATGCACTACCATGCCTGGCTAATTTTTTGATTTATGGTAGAGCTGAGGTCTCGCCAAGTCGCCCGGGTGCGTCTCGTACCCGTGGGCCAGGCAATCTACTCACCTCAGCCTCCCAAAGCACGGGATTACAGGCTGAGCCACCGAGCCCGGCTAAATATACCATTTTTAATAAATTCTAGGGTTTGGAGTTCTTTCCCCTCATATAAATGTATTTATTTTGCAGGGGGACAGGTAGGGAAGGAGAGGTATAGATCAGTTTTTTAAAAGCCTTAAATGAATAGTATTTTTGGTGGAACAGTTACATGATTTCAAAGTTCATGAGCTGAATTTAACAAAAAGTGTACCTGTAGGGTGGGCCATAGACACCAGCATCGCCGCTGTCCATTACTACTCTCCAAAGCAGGACCCTATCTTTGTTGAAGAAAAAATAATTTGTCGAACAGAGTGTTTCCTGGAGAAGGCCCGCTAGCAACTTCATCGCAGAAATAGGCACAAAGTGTCCTCAAGAGTAAGGGTCCCTTAGGGCAGGGACTTAATTGTTTTTTTGAGGGCAGCCTTTTTGGTCACGATGCATGGGCACCTGTTGCCCTCTCGTGGCCAAAGGGTGTCACTGCAGCCCTACTCCTTTTGGACTTGCCGGCAAGGGTGGATTTGAGCCCAGGAGTTGGGAGGAGGAGGGAATTGTTGTTGATGCTTGGCTTTGTTTGGTGGGGGCATGGGTAGAAGGTGTGGTACTGTTCAGTCCACCCCAAGGATAGAAGTCAGCCTCGTAGCCTCTCTTGTCACGTGCGCACAGCTACTGCGAGCACAGTTTTCCCAAGCCAAGCCCTATGGGCTTGCGTGTAGGGAAGCAAGTATGTTTGCCACAAGTTGAAGCCATTCTTGTCACCCTGCCTAGTGAGTGGGGAGAGCTGCCCTCCCTGTTCACGAGGGCCCCCCGCCAGGGCTGTGCTGTGTCAGTGTCCGGTGCAGCACCTGAGACCGCTTCCCTCTCCCCACAGCAACAGCGGCGGGAGCGCGAGCAGCGGAAGCTGCAGGAGAAGGAGCAGCAGCGACGGCTGGAAGACATGCAGGCCCTGCGGCGGGAGGAGGAAAGGCGGCAGGCAGAGCGCGAGCAG